GTGTGTGTGTGTGTGTGTGTGACTCTTTAATGTTCATGTCATTAATTCTCAAGCCCATTTTACATCAAAATGAAACGACTTGAAATTTGCAGTCACTTGGAATATAAATTAAAATGTAATTTCAGGCGGAATACACTTTAAGTCCTCAGTCACATGTAATAAAGTCTTGAAATGCGGTACGAAGAATAACGACAAAAATTTTATTCCATGAAATTGTTAAATGTTTCTCATTTGATATTCTAATTTCAGTACGATGATGTGGTTTAGTTTAATGAATCCTAAATTTTAATACATGCTTCGATTTTGAGTATGTGTAGTGAGATTCCATCTATCCATTAATTGAACACAAAAATGAAAAATAAAGTACATATAATTCCATTCCAAGATGGCGTCGCAAAAGTAGAGGTTCAATAACAGACTTTGCAAATATATGTAGCATACTACAGTTACCAATTACAGAGCTGTGAAACGCAAAGTGAAGCACTTAAGCGTTGATCTTGGCTTCATGTTTTGCCGCCAGAAAACAGTAGGGTGTTCCATCCAGCTTTTTTTTTATTATCAGTGATTTTAAATTTTCCATGTCTTCTATTTAAGATTTAGCACCAAAATCAAAGTTCACACATATCTCTATATCTCACAAACTCCACTGAATAATACTGATAAGGAAAGTTTAAATAAAGCACTTTTTCAGGACATTTAAAAGATACAAATGCTCTATGGCTGCCCTCGTCAACGGTTACATGTGAGGGTCTCCTGTAAAGAAAAAAAAAGGAAAAATAAAAAAAAAAAAAGAAGAGAAAAATATTTATACATATTTCACTCTCGTCATATATATATATATATATATATATATATATATATATATATATATTATATATATATATATATATATATATATATATATATTGGGGTTTCAAGGAAAATGAGAAGAAAGATAAATTGAAATTATTGACCCAACAACAGATGAATTTTGGTTTATATACTTCTTAGCAACCCGAGGCATTACATATTTGTATATACACAAATATTTTCTTAGTTCACCCATTTGACTAGTGATCCTTGTATTACTTGTCAGAAACTGTTAATTATATAATTATAATCTTGCTTCGATAGGCAAGTCAGTGATTTATAATTAGCTTTTTTAGGACGTTAGGTTATGTGATTTTTTTTTTTTTTAATAAAATCTTTCTAAATCACGAGAGTAAAATTTCATCTCTACCTAAATAACCTCTCTTTAATTTGTTTATGACAGAACGAATCTGAATCCCTACCTCCATAAGGCCACTATGTTCAAGGATCGATTAGTAAGGTCACAGGGTCTTATGTAACCTGGTTGCCGACGATCCATAGGCCTAAATAATTTACTTCTCAAGATAGTCCACTGACCTTTATACTCGTCAGTGGACTAGCGAGGATTATATATATATATAATTTTTTCTTTTGTCTTACTTTTCCTCCTATAAATATGAGACATTTTTTTTTTTTTTCATTTCGTATAAATTATTTGTGTCAAAGCCTAAAGATGAAAGTTTTTTTTTTTTCTTTTTTTTTTACGCATGAAGACAACTTACTTTTTTATGTTTTACGCCAGGTGCCCTCGCTACTGGTTTTCGTAAAAATGAACTTTACATTTGGGATTTAGCAAACCTACGAAACGGATTGTCTCCCCCTCCCCTAACCGTTCTCTCACTTTGTATGATTCAGTCTCTGTCTCTGTCTATCTATTAATTTCTCTCTCTCTCTCTCTCTCTCTGTCTCTCTCTCTTCTCTCCTCTCTCTCTCTCTCTCTCTCTCTCTCTCTCTCTCTCTCTCTCTCTCTCTCTCTCTCTCTCTCTCTCTCTCTCTCTCTCTCCTCTCTCTCGTCAATTAGTGATGTATATTATATAAACTCTCGTAAAGTAAACAAGCTGTAAGATTTTATATATATTGTAAAAATTCTGTCAAATACAAACTATTTTTCCTTCATTGGTAAACTACATACTGGGACAGAATGTGACTGGATTTTTACATCTACAAGGATTTATTAAGGTCTCAAAAAAGAGGTTTTGTAACTAGGTTAACGACCAACTTTGGGGCTATTTGTTTCATTTCTCAAAATAGTTTTGCTTCATTTCTCAAAATAATTTTCATGCCATTTTATTGAAGATGAACTTTCTAAATATACTGTATGTGTCTGTATCCCTTCGAAGAGTTAAGTAAAGCCTCGTCAGTATATATATAAGTTTTAATCAAAGGAATGTAACGGATGTCAGAGGTAAAATAAACATCATGTTGGGTATATTCTATTTACATTTTATTTACACTTTACAATATTTCTCATCATTTACACGTTTCCTTTCGTTCTATTTTATTACTACCATTCCTCCACATTGAATCTTTCGTATATATTCCTTGCAGCTAATACTATGGCTATCAATTCTAAAATTTGTTGTTTTTGAGTCTCCTGTGGGTGCTCGAGCCAACTGTAATACTATTATATATACTATCTTATGTACTTGCTATTACGAGTATATTTTTTATACTTATTTATGTATATTATCATATATAATCTATTATATATACATACTATTATCTGATTTTATACTTATTCATATTTACTAATATATGTATATATATACTACTATATATACATTATTATACATACTTCCAGAAAGACGTACAGTGCTAACAGACATTTTAGTCATCCTTTTAAGGAATCAAATCAGTAGAAAATCCAGTTTATTAGAGCAGTAAAGGTCATTTTCCCCAAAAACAGGAAAGAGTTTGTTCGGGATTCTGATCCAACCAACAACTTGGATATTCGTGGCTCAGAGAACACCCCATTTCAGATTCCATTCGACACAACACAAACACACACAGGGAACGATTACCCTTAAAAGATTAAGAAGTAATTTCGACGAAAAGGTCATCTTGGATATTGAGCGAATGCGTGTCCCCCGCTCCCAAGACGAAGAAATTTTATTTAAAAAAAGCCTCTTCCTGCTTAGCCAATTGAAAGCAGAATGTGGGCTAAATTATATGCGGGAGACGCAGTAATACTATTATAACATTTTTAAGCTCGTGAGTTTCATAGAAAGCAATAAATAAAGTCAAATTGTGTGTATGCCAAACACAAACAAAAAAAAAAGAAAAAAAAAAAAAAAAAAAAACAATATATTCCATTCACTTCTCAAAAACCGCTCGACGTTCTCATAGTCTCATAAAGAAGCGCAAAAAAATGTATCGAGCCACACTATCCGCCTTGTCCTCAGTATCTTCAGTATAAATACCTAACCTCTCGCTCACCAAAAAACACAAATATTAGTATAACAAAGAAATTTAAAATTATAAAAAAAAAAAAAACATGATCTACTCCCGTCTCTGCAGGAAGTATAAGGATCACGTGACTAACGTCGACGTCATCCTGCGCCTCCTCAGTATCGGTGCACTTGGTCGCAGGATCTGGCGAAGAGGCCGTGGAACTCCTTGGTGACGACCCCCTGCGTCTTGAAGGTGACCAGCGCCTCCTGCTTGAACGTTCTTGGCGTCGAGGCACCACCATGCGACCTGAGGGCGAACCGAGATTTTATGGTCGATGTGATGCGTGCTCTTCTCTCTCTCTTTCTTCTTCTCCATCTCCTACTCTCTCTCTCTCTTCCCTTTTCCATAACGTCCCTCTCTCTCTCACCACCTCTTCACAACATTTACTCTTCTACTCTCTCTCCCGCCGCCACACCTCTCTCCATACTCAACCACCCCAACTATAACGTAATAATATTATATTTGATATATTATCGTCTTCATATATTTAGTTTTCTGATTTTTTTTAGTGTTTTTTCTTACTTTTATGTTATTTTTTATTATTCTTATTATCTTAATTTCATTATTATTATTATTTTCTTTTAGTATATATTTATTTATTATTTGATTGTTTTATATTATTTTTTTTTCATTAAATTATTATATTATCCACCCAACCTCGCTTTCCCATCTTCTCCTCTCTCCACCCTCTCTCTCTCCTCTCTCTCATCCTCTTTCTCTCCCCTCTCTCTCCCCTCCCTTCTCCCCTTCTCCCCTCTTTCTCCCCCTCCCTTTCTCCTCTTTCCCCTCTTTCCTCCCCTTCTCTCCTCCCCCCTCTCTCTCCCCCTCTCTCTCCCCTCTCTCTCCCCTCTCTCTCCCCTCTCTTCTCCCCCCTTTCTCCCACTCTCCCCTCTCTTTCTCCCCCTCTCTCTCCCCCCTCTCTCTCTCCCTCTCTCCCTCTCTCTCCCTCTTCTCTCCCTCTCTCTCCCTCTCTCTCCCTCTCTCTCCCTCTCTCTCCCTCTCTCTCCCTCTCCCTCTCTCTCCCCCTCTCCCTCTCCCTCTCCCTCTCCCCTCTCCCTCCCTCTCCCTCTCCCCCCCCCTCTCTCCTCTCTCTCTCTCTCTCTCTCTCTCTCTCTCTCTCTCTCTCTCTCTCTCTCTCTCTCTCTCTCTCTCTCTCTCTCTCTCTCTCTCTCTCTCTCTCTCCCTCTCCTCCTCTCTCTCTCTCTCTCCTCTCTCCCTCTCCCTCTCTCTCTCTCCCTCTCCTCTCCCTCTCCCTCTCCCTTCTCCCTCTCCCTCTCCCTTCTCCCTCTCCCTCTCTCCCTTCTCCCTCTCCTCTCCCTTCCCTCCCTCCCTTTCTCCCTCTCCCTCTCTCCCTTTCTCCCTCTCCCTCTCTCCCCTTTCTCCCTCTCTCTCTCTCTTCTCTCTCTCTCTCTCTCTCTCTCTCTCTCTCTCTCTCTCTCTCTCTCTCAAACACATACACACAACCCTCCTCGAAACACTTACACAACACGAACTACAGAATTCCATTTCCAAGGCAACCAACGCCAGAGATTGATTAACTAAAGACGTGGAGCAAAATCAAACCCCCTGAACCCTTTTTTTCCCCATTTTCCTATATCTCTCAGCCCTTTTCTCATTATAAAACCAATTTCCAACCTCCTCTCCTACCAGTCTACCCATACCCATTCACCCGCTCTCCGCCCACCAATCCATTTCCACTT